AAGCTAGATGCACTGTTGAATCACAAGAATGTTTTACGCTTTATTAAGGCTAGAAGAAATAGCTGGCTAGGACACGGAAAGACTGCTTGATGAAATAGCCACGAAAAAGATACTTATTGAGGAATTTCCCGGAAAAAGGAAAAGAGATTGACCGAGGAAATGTTGGCAAAGAGACGTGGAAGACGATTTCAAAGAGGATGAGAGCGGTAAATTGGAAGGGAAAAATAAAGGATAGAGAGGATTGGAAACAGATTGTGAAGGAGGCCAAGGTCCACCTCGGACTGTAGAGCTCGTCAGTAAGAATAAGATAAAGACTATTCAAGATAGCAGTTGCCTCTTGGGTGAATATGGAGGATTCTCCTAGAAGTTTAAATAGGAGCTGGTTCGCTTTACCTGTCCCTGCACATCCTACACTATTTCCTACTTTTTATATGCTATGAAATTTCATATTATTATTTATAGTTAACAAATTTGTTATTCTTTTCGGACATTTCACAAAAATAAAACTTTTTATTTCTTATATTTTTTGTATTCATATATATATATATATATATACATTAAAACAACCTAACTAATAAAATTATTTTATATTTAAATCTTTTTTTTTTTCTTTTTTTTTATAAAATATTGTTTTTCTTTATTTGAGGCTTGATGTAACAGGATTGAAATTTAATTTTACAAAAATTATGTTCTGTATACTCCATTTATGTTTTGCGCTTAGCGGAAAAATAAATGGAAACAAATAAAAATAAATGGAAAATACAAGAAGACGTCTTTTCTTGTAAAATTATAATATTTTTCTTTACTAATTTATGCAATATGGATTGTCTTAATTTAATTTGAAAACTTTACTGCCAATATAGTTTCTTTTACAATTATTATTATTTTTTTTTACAAAACATTAAAATTATTACATTACAACATACATACAAGAGCAGAGACAATCCCGCTAATGGTTAGAGCATTATTTCCAGACCCGCTCACATCTGCTCGGTCCTTACGAGTACTAATGATGACTCACGTTAACGAGCAGATTACAGAACCTCAATTTAACGATGCTTTTTAAAAATATGATATAATATATACTAAAATTGTATAAACCAAATATATATTCCGATGCCTATCGACTCTTAAAATTGCTCTTATATAAATTCATTTATCTGAAAAGTTTCATATTTACCATACAATCAATTTAATATTGATTGTAATCAAAGTTACATTGAAAATAATAAAAATTAGATATTGAGTTCATTTTTATGGTAAAATTATTTTAACCTATAATTTCAAGTCACTCCACACAAGAGGCAGATCCAGGGGTAGTTTTTAAATGGTACTATCAGGTTGATCGCAGAATATGAGAGAAATATCACCTAGGATATGGAGAAAATTTCAATAAATCTATTATCAATATTTCATATCTATAACCGACTGCAGTACGAATACAGAAGATAATTAATTAGTCTTATTAATACATCTACTGCAATAAATGATAATTTATTCACAGTTTAATTTATTTCTCATAAGTAATAGGCTAACAACTTACGAGGTGAAGCTTACTCTGGTAGATTACAGCCATACCTTCTGATATACAGAGCAGCTCAGTCTTAATGGCCAAAGTCTGAGGGTTGTTTCTTGACAAAATTTCCAACAGTAAAGTTCGTTTGATGCATTGGTCGATTACGAACTGAAATGGAGTTAAAACCAATTGTGTGTCTTCCTTAAGGTGGTTACGTTATTTGTTGAATAAGAAGGAATTGCTCTAAACTGTTTAAGATAACTAAATTATAAGTACATACAAAGTAGATACAATTTTCTTTTAGAAAACAGTAATTAAATTTACTAAGCTATAAAAGAGATTTTCAGAAGGTCTAATACGACCGCTTTACTGCTTTTAGGTATGGGAAATACAATTAACATACATAAGTAAACTGCTCGAGTATAAATACTGTAACAGCTGTATTACACCGGCCGTATTTACTTACAGTTAGTGTAAAAATTTTGATACACAACAGGATTTACATCATTTTTGTGAATTTATTACTTGCAATTTTGTACATCTATTTTATTCGTACCGATAAGTAAGATTAGAATTCACAAACTTGTATTTGATGATTTTGTTTACAATAAATGATGATATATGCCTCGGCCAGTTAGTAAAGGCTGATCCCTATCCTTCACCGATTCATTAGTAACAGGATAAGCTAAACATATTACGATCTGAATTTAAAGAAGTAAGTAGTATCAAAATAGAGTGTTATATCTGTGAATAATTTTTAATAATTTAATTTTTAATCTGTGAGTGATTTTCGTTAACGGGTTAAAGTTCTGCTGTACCAAATTATTTATCCCACCTTAGAATCAAGAAACTCTCCAAGGCACACTCAGTCTCTGTAAATTTATGGATCTTCTGATTGATAAAGTTTAACCTTGACTGCTATATATGTCCTAGCCAAATCATCTCCTTGCATAATCGTTAAAGGAACATCCTTAACAAATATTTAACTGTTAAGTATTATTAATAAAAACAATAAGAAATCAACATTAAAAATATCATTATCGCCATCACATTTGCTGATTGTCAACTTATTTTTGACAGGCGCAAATACATATTTTATAGACAAAAAAAAAATATAGAAATTATTTTTTTATTATAATTTTATAATTCATTTGATAATAAATATATCTAAAATCTAAGTTATTTTCTAAACCGAAATGACGGTTTTACTGACCCAGAAAGAATTGAACTGATTGGGAATCTAAAGTTGGTCGGAAATTTCCAGCCACAAATTTAACTAAGTACTCAGAAACTGTTGTGGAGTAGGAAATTAGATCTCTATTTTACAGACAGTAACTAGAGTGAGATATGGCTATTGAATATAGTAAAACTGCGACCAACTATGGCAGTCAGTGGGGCTTAGAACTTTGCAGTGACTCGTCTGTTAATTCCCTATATTTAAACCGCCAGTTATTGCATATAATATGTAAACTATATGTATATTACCATCGTTCTATTAATCCATAGTCAATATAAATATTATTTATAATATATAATTTAGTAATAAATTTTACCTTATCAATCTTATTTACAAAGTAGTAATGTGTTTCGTTTTTGGATATTAGTTAAAAACAAAATCATCGATTATAAATATAAATGTTTGTGAGAAAGTCAACTTTATTTATTCATATTTACAATTGTGAAGGAAACCTTCGGCTTGAAGTTTTCGTAAATGAATGTTTGTAAGTATTGTATATAAGAATGCCTATATTAAGGTTGTTATTTTGATTAGGTAAGGTACATATTTATTTCTTTTTAGTACTATTATTTTTCTGTTGTTTTATTTAATTTATTCTTATTTATTTTACGTAAATTATGAATGAACTAATTGAGACAGAATTTAGTATTACTTAATTAAGAAGTATTTAAAGATAAAAAAAAAGTAAGATTTACAATGTTTTAGAGGATTCACAACCAGCCAATATTTTCGCTGCTATCATCAATAGAAGGAATCGTATTAAAAAAAAAATACAAATTATTTATTTAATAAAATTAATTAATTAACAATTAAAATTAATTAAAAATTATTTATAAAAATTAAAAAACAATTTGGATCAAATTCGAATTGATGAGGCTCCTTAATGAAAGGGAATTCACATGCTTCGACGAGGTCTATTGTATTGATGGATCAACAAGATACGCGGATACAGTTGCATTCTCCACGGCCGGAAAGGTAGCACTGGCAATGACCTCGATCAGGCCAATGAAGTAGAAAGAGAAAAGAAGGAAATATACTAGAAATGCATCCCTTTCCTAAAATAGAAATTCCGCGAGACCTTCGGAGAGAGAGAATTCACAGTGAGAGGCCTCTGGTTTGGGTCTCGCAGAATGATTCCTAAAAAAACAGGAAGCTTCTTCGAGGAACTTGGTGTTGATGTCGAGGAGCTCGCAGTGTTGGCCGAGGGTATTATTCTGGACTCCCTTGTGATCATTCATCATCACATATATGGTGGTTAGGGGTTGATTATTGTTATTTATTTATTCAATTTTAAATGATTTAAGTGGCCATATCTTTTTGTCTATGTTCATGGAACTATGTTACTTGCTGTGTGTGCGTTCTAATTTTCTGTTTTTAAAACTTTGGCATTGGAATACCATATATATATTTTTTTTTGCCATATAAATTTCAGAAATTGTCTTATATTGGTTTTACCGAAATATGTATATATTGTATAATTGCAATTGTGTGTATTAGTATATTATTGTATTGATATTGTTTATGCTGTTTAATACGAAAAAGAATTTGTATATATATAAACATATAACTAAGTATAATTAAGTGCTATGTCCAAAAAAAAAAGATTGATGAGTATGCTGTATATTGAGCAACCCTATATAGTAGGGCAGCACTGCTTTAAATAAAGTATTTATCTCTCTAGAAATTTCACAAATTATTTATTATCTTCAAGCATAAGATTTATACCTTTTTTAATAATAATCCTTTCCTTACTTCAGATTTTCAAGAACTTTGGCATCATATAATATGAAACCAACAAGAATAAGTAAATTATAATAAAGTTCGAATAAAAAAATAATAGTTTCCCAAAATAAAATAAGTGAAATAATTTCACCTCTGCTCTTTTTTTTTTTTGTTTTACTTCAAAATCGTGTGAACGACCTAAGCGATTTTTCTCAACTAATTCTTAATCGAACATAATTTAAATATTAATTTGGTATATATTTATTTTGGGGCATTAAAAACAAATTGCTATGAAGAAGCAGAAAGTTTCGAGCAATGAAAGCTTATCCTATGCCATCTGCTTCGTATCTCAGAGAAACAGAGCGCAATAAAAGCCAGTAATGGAGCAATAATTCTTAGCTAAAGGCAACATTCATAATCAGTAATTCAGTATTCTACCGCTGTCTTAATTGCTGAGAAAGTATCGATTTTGGCAAAAGCCTCATTAAATACATTGACCCTAAATTAATTAAATTACTTGCTTACCTTAGGTGTAAACAGATGCTTGAGGCCGTTCGACATCCCAGGAAGTGTCACTCCCCTAAAGAAGAAGATGATGAGGACGATATAGGGGAACGTCGCTGTCACGTAGACTACCTGAAAATGAATCGATTACAACTATAACATGTAAATATTCGATTAATTAATCGTTTTAATCGAGATTCGTACCTTTCCAGACGAGGCTATCCCTTTGATCATGCACATATAAACCAGGATCCAGGCAATGACCAAGGCAATCGCAATCTTCCAGTTGAAGGGTGCCGGGTTGTTAATATCCTCCGAAGCCATCAGTGTGGTGCGGTACCAGAAGTATTGGGTGGGGGTGCTAGCCTGTAAAAAATAATTCGTTTATGAATCACATAATTATTATTACACATACACATTGTATATGTGTAACGTGTAATTATACATGTTGATATAATTATTCAGAGTAAGCTAAGTAACAAGATCCTAAACTGAAGTAAATAGATGGTAAAAATTGTTGTAGTGTAATCTATAATACATGCAAATGTGAATTTACTTCTGCAGATCTACAGCAGAGATTGAAAGAAAGGAAAAAAGGTTATAAAATGAAATAATAGACATAAAGGAATGTGAAGAAAGAAAAGAAAAAGAAAACCAAAAAATAAGTAAATAAAATTAGAAGAATAAAAATAAAGACTTACATGTGTGTTGAGCTGGGAATTTCACTTAAAACCGGAAAATAAGGATAAGTGTAGGTATTGGGGAAATTTGCTGACCTGTTTGGGTAATGGGAAAAAACCTAGAAAATTACAGTGTCTAAAATTTGAAGATATGTATAGAATCAAGCTGAAAATACTATATCTATGAAATAATAAATTATAAATATATACATATGTATATCAAATAGAATTAAGAGATTATAGATAAGATTACAATGTGAATAAAAACAAAAATGGATGAATTAGCCTTGAAGAAGACCTGCAAAGTCGAGTCGAAACGTTGGCTTTTAATAAAATAGTTTTGCCATTATTTAGCCTATTTATGACCATCACTCCGAACCATCTCCTTCCTTTATAATGCAACGATCAACTATTAAATATTCCTTATATGACAAGAAGTTCCTTCAATGGTCTAATAGATCATTTTATCATACCGATTTTGTTCTTAAACCCTGTAGTTAGCAAATAAAATACTAAACTTAACTTTGTTATCTAAAACCATAGCTGATGCTAACTTACAGTACATTCCGGTTCTTCGGCGTACGATCCATTAGGGAAGTATTTCTTAGGGCACTCCGACCAAGGCAGCTCCGCCTGGAAGCTCTGTAGAAGTAAAAAAGAATCAGTGTTATGTTATAAATATATAACTATATCTCAGTTATTGATACAATATGATAAATTATAAGAACTCTAACCTGGGCAAAGTAGAAAAGACACCAAGCAATGATGGTGTTGTAGTAGAGTGCAACGTTGAAGGAAACGACGGCGCTGCTGATGCCGATTCCAGCCAAGAATGGCGAGACTTGATTCCAGACACCGATGGCTCCCTTCCTCAATCTCTGGCCAATCGCCAGCTCCAGGTAGAACATCGGGATACCCTCGATAGCCAGCATGATGAAGTAGGGGACAAGGAAGGCTCCTGTAAAACAAAACGTATAGAGGATTCGATCTATTGTAATGTGCCACTATTTTTACTTTGACTTAGCTATATGGCTTAGCAAAGACTTAGCTATTGGGTCCTTTCGGTTTTCAGGGAGAAATAAAACTCAATGTATTATAGACATAAATTTTATTTTAATCTCCAATATATTGACCATCCTCTCTTACTCCTCCGATCCATGGACCCTTACCTCAAAATACAATGGGCAGATCCAGACAATGGAGATGAGGAATCTAAGAAAGGTTGAGGGAAAGACCAGGAGAGATAGGATCCGCAACATGACAATAAGATCAAACTTCGAGGTACAGTCAATAGAAACCACTCTGGAAGAGAATAAACTTTGATGGTTCTGCCACCTCTTAAGGATGAACATGGCATGAACGGCCAGGATAAAGTAGTGAGATAGTCCAGATGAGAGTGGAAGGTGGAAGACCAAAAGGAAGACCACGGATTATCTGGGAAGGAGGCGTTCAGGATGCGAGGGCTGGACTGGAGCAGGAGGAGAGAGCTGGTACAGGAGAGGAACACGTGGGTCAATCTCTATACAGTACATCTCGGCACTGCTCAGCGTTAGAGAGGGAAAGGATTATGATGATAATGATATATTGACCATTATTCAATCTGACTTTATCCCATCTTTCCACTAACTGCATAATACCATGTTCATAGAATGTCTGGAGTTTACTGTTAAAAAACTGATCATCAAAGTCGTTTTTTATTAATTTCTTTCCATTCATGCAGTTCTACAGAGACCGGAATAAGTGGTAGTCACTTGGAGCTAGGTAGGCGAATAGGAAGGATGGGGCAAAAGGTCCCATCCAATGCTCAATAATTAATTTCTAGTAAATAATTGTTTTAAATAAAATGTTGTACCCTTTGTAATTTTTATATTCACTACTTTTTTTTCTGAAAATAATTATTTCTGCTAAAAGAAGAGATTGTACTAGATTTTTAGTGATGAAGGTGCAAGATGTATCAGAAAGACTTAAACAATGACTGTCCCAAATAGAATAAGAATAACTAGATACGTTGAGTATAGGTGAAGACTGGAAAGGAACATGTGCCGGAGGTCCAACTGGCGAACCACGAAACATCAGTGAGTTTAAGGGTATCCGTCTTTAAACATTACAGGGAAGGTAACCACTGGCAGAGGATATTTGTCTCTAGACTTTGTGTGGGAGGAGCTAAGGGTTGTTTGACCTCTGACCCTTCACTGAAGAAACCACAGGTGGTGGGTATTGACCTCCGGACTATGTCAAAGAAAAAGTCATCGACTAGCCCATACAGGATGTCTTTTAAGTATCAAGATCTACAAAACAAAAACGTTCATATTAACAATCGTCCAATTTTCAGCAGAAAAGGAGAAAATTGAAGATTTTTTTTTAATCGAGTCACGTTTTTAGTTGAATAGAAAGCGATAACTTAAAACATATTTAATTAAAGTAATTCAAAATTGCTCCATAGTAAACTATACAAAATTAAATTTAAACGGAAGTAGAGTTTGTCATTGTTAGAACTATTGTATTTGAAGAGGACTATTGGGCGGTCATAAAGTATTTGCGATTTTTTTTTTCGCCCTTCAAGTGTACTATATTTAAAAAAACTATCTCGTTTAATAAGCTTTAAGTCTATTTAACAATTTGAGAATGCCGTAGGATTATTAGCAAATTTTTTTTTTTACTTCTATAACAATTTTTATTGAGAAAAAAAAATACATTTTGCCTCAATTAAGGGCATTGAGTATTTATGATGAATGAAGTACAATCATACCATATATAAAATAAAAGAACAACAAGATTATAAGAAAATAAAATAAAATAAAACTTGGAGTAACAGAATAAATCAAACATGATAAAACATTAAATAAAAACTAAAATAAAAAAATTAAAAAAATAATAAATAAAAACACATTCAAAATTATTTACAATATTACAGTCAGCCGAGGGAGCTCCGAGTCGGGCCTCCCCCCCCCCTGTGTAGGACAAGGCAAGACTCCAAGAGATCCCAGCGCTTCTCTCTCAGCCGCTAGGATGGGAATCCAGTGAAGACTGAGAGAGGGCACTAAAGCCACATAATTAGCAAATTAGAACTAAAAATTGTTGTTTATTCATATAAAGGAATACGGCAAATAAGTAAAAGAAAAATATTGAAACCAAGACAATAACATTTTTTTATGATATATATTGTTTAAAAAATATTAAATTAAAATGAAAAGAAGGGTGGTTGGGGTGATCAGTCATTATAAAAATGGCAAAAAAAAAATTATAATAATATTTATTTTTGCCATTTTTATTATGAGTGATCATACCAACCATCCTTCTCTTCATTATTCACTACAATCCACCATCAACCCACAATTATTAAATTACAAATCAATATTCATCCCCTAATAATTGATTCAAAAATCTGTTTCAGCTTGATTTGAAAACTTTGGCTCCTCTAGGGTTTTGTGAAATTTATATAAAATTATTTTTTAGTGATTTCCGATCTTTGAATAGCTTCTCATAAAAACCTCAAAATCGTTTGTTCGAGATTCTTGCGCTTTCAGCAGCAAATATTCGACTTTAGAACAAGATATGAAATTTTCATGTGAATGAACCGTGCATAATCTTGCAACTGATGTAAATTTTGGTGAAAAACAATCATACTTAATTATTAAAGAAAGGACACTAGAACAAATAGGATTCAAAAGAAAGGATTTTTTTTAATCAAATAATATTAGAAAAGTTAACAAAAAAAAATAAATAAAATTAATTGCTTCTTCATTTTTTTTTTGTAAGAATTTCGTAGAATTGTAAAAAAAAAAACTACGGCCAAAACCTCATTTTGTTTCTATGAAGTAATAAATTCAAGGAAAAAAAAAATGTTTTTTTCATTTTATGCCTTATTTAGGCTTATCATATCGAATTCCAGAAAATCTTAAGTACTTCATTTGTATGGATTGGCATATTGAGTAATATGCGAGTCAAAGTGGCTCTTCCCATCTTCCCGCCGCCTATACTTCCTTGGAAATTTCTTATACCAAACGATCAACTCCCAGCACCCTTCCTATATCTGTTGTCTCCTCCAGCCTAAACCCTTAGTCCACTCAATAAAAACGAGATCCCGTGTTTCTGACCTCTATATTCCATTCCACAGGACAAAAACCTATGAACGTTCCTTCTTAGCCCGCTCCGTCTCCTATTGGAATTCTTTGCCACATAACATCCGTCATGCCTCTTCCCTGTCAACTTTCAAATACCTCCTTTTCCAATATCTCCTTACATCCCAAACAGAAGATTTACCACCATAAATTTCATTTTATGAACTGAATTTGCGTGAAGTAAATAGTGGTGCCTACTGTTTAAGTTTTAACATAAAACAGCAATGATCTTTGTCACCTAGTTTGACTATTATTTTTACTATTTATTTATTTTTCTCTTCTCCTCAGGTTGTGCTTTTTTTTTCGGGTATATATGTTCATATTTTATATCTTTGTCTTTATGTGTGCCAATATGAGAATGTACGTATAAATAGTTCCTTTTAGTTATTTTTTTTTTTCCGTTACACCACAAGTATCGTAAGACTTTATTTTATCTTAGTGTCTGCATATTATTATATAAACCACTGTAGATATTATTTCATTTTGTATTAAGTTAGTTTTCTATTAGATAGCCTATTGTTTATAAATTGTGTAGTTATGTATATATAAATATGTAATTTCTCTTCTTTTTTTTTTTTTCATCACAATTAAGTAATTTTGAGAAGATTTTATGTTCATTTGTATATATATTTTATTTTTTATGTTTTACTGGTTAAATACTTTTTAAATAATGTATATAATATTAAAATTTTTAGAAGTTAGTTTTTGGCCAGATTTGTACTTTACTTTGTATTAACTCATCATTGTTATTCTAAAGGGACTTAGTCCCAGAATAAAGTTTAATTTTCTATTCTATTCTAAGCGAACAATAAAATATCTTGGAGCATGTAGGTTCTGGCGCCATCGGCCTTGGGGGGAAAGGAATTTCTGTATATGTATATTTTTATCTAACGGCGATAAAACTCCCTTTTTACTAATTGTAAAAGTGTTCATTTAATTTCATATGTTTTGCGCTTCTGTAACCTCCTACTCACTAATGCTAAGTACAGATATTAGACCTGAAATTTGTACGGAAAGTGATAATTTGAACAATCGCCATAGAAGAGAAGCAATATTGAGGCTAGGAAATTGAGGTAAAAAGTTGAGCTGCTGTAAACTCCTACTCTCCTATTAATGTTTTTAACCCTGGAGTCTTCTTTACTGTCCGTCCCGCTTTAATATAATGTATATATGTAAAATAAAATATGAGTCACTAAAAACCTTTTTATATAATAGAGAGATATATTTTATTAAACTTATCATGAACATTATCCCTAATAATGTTTCTATTAAATATAAATAAACAAACATCTATAATAGACCGGATTTTAGAGTAAAGTGATAAATAAACCAGTTTTCACGGCGGAAAATATCAGGTTTTCGTAAATTCGCATGCATAAAAACAAACCAGTGTTATTGTTAAATTAAGTATTTTTTTCCAGGCATTAAGCCCTGGGAAATCCTATTCAGTCCCACTGTCCAACCCAAGGAATAATAATAATATACTAGAACAGAAAATAAATTACTCTCTGTGACACATTTAATTTCGATTTGTAGCCAGAACTTGTATTGCACCAAATAATACAATGGTCGTTAGTCACAATAGGAGGTAGATTTCCAACGAGCAACTGAAGTATAGATTGCGGATCTCTTGCCAACAAAACAGGAAAAAGAAAACGAATAAACCGTTGTATCTTGTAAAGGGCTGTCCAGGAAAAAGGAAGAAAGCTCTAATCGAATGTTGTTCTATCGACAACTAAGAGGCAGCTCACTCTGATCTTGGCTGGCTTCGATTTTAGGATTATCTTCTACTCTCATCCCAAATTAAATTTTCTTTATCCTAATTGGTATTCTATTGAATATTATATGAACTTTCAGTAGACTCTCTATCTAAATACATTTTAATGAAATATTTAGTTTTTATACTCTTTTTGCAACAAAAAAATAAATAAATAAAAATGTATTCTAGGTTATAATACTAGTTAATGAATAAAATGTTTAAAATATAAAGATGTGTTGATAATTTATACACGAATTAATAATGAAATTCTAACAAAGACAAATTATAAAATAAAACTATAACTTCTTTATTTTTTGTTGTCTAACCTTATCGATAAATATGTTAGTTAGTATACTAAAAGAATGTTTTTAAATATATAAGCAATTTTAAAACAGATGTTGACTAAATCACTTCCTGCTGTTCAAGTTGCCAAAGAAGTGATGACTCTTTTAGGCACGTCAACAAAGCTGGAATGTGATACCTGATTCTAGAATTGAGGAACGTGTTTGATATTTTTTTTTTTAAATATAGTCAATTTTCATGAATGGTTAATAAACATAAATACTATGCAAAGTAGAATAAGTGAATGTTTATCTTTTGTTGAGACATAACAGTGACATTTTTTTTTTTTTTTTTTTTTTGCTCACTGGAAAGCTTTATATTCGTATGTGAGGTTAAAACAATTTTGCTTAGAATCGAAAATTTCTGATCGCATTTTACGTTTCAGGCGTCATTCCTCCTTTTTGTGAACCAATTATTAAATACTTAAGCTAAATATTTGTATAGCTATCACAACCTATTCAACAAAAAGTGCCTCACTTAAAAACATACATGTATTGAATTCCCAACGTTTCTGCTAGAAATAGGGCAATTGTTTATATGAACTTTTTTGTATATCTTGATGTCTACTATCAACCTTTTAAATATTTCTCTCCACTTACGTGACAACCTGTTTAAATATATCAAATGTATAGATAGCACGTACAACATGAATGGCCAAAATTGAAACTCTTGAGTTTACAATCAACGTTTAATCTCTCTTAAACTAATAAATAAGCAGCATTATTAAAAGTAATTAAAAAAATATCTACTTCAGTTATTACTCCTAGTAAAACACGAATACTGTGAGGAAACAACCTGTAATTTAACAGAAAACCTGCACGCTATAATTAATAATAAATTGGAATGTGTACGTAATATTTTTTTTCAAATGAACAAAATACGTTGTATTACACATTAAAGATGATACTAATTTAAATATTTTTGGAAATTTATCAGACTGTTTAAACATGAAGTTTTATTTTCAAAAAATGATTAAATAGTCATATAAACTCCTTGGCTTTTCAGCCTCTCAAATCAAATTTACAATCACTGCTAAATTTTTGCTACTAAGACATTACTCATTCGACTCCCGTATTTCATTGTTCTCATCTTTATTATTAAAAAAAAAAAAGAAAATTGAATATTAATTTATATAAATTATCGCTTAATGTTTGAAACATAAACTATAAACCTTGACATATAAACAATACGAAGCTATAACAATAGCAAATCCCATGCTGGTACTATCCTCACCGGCAGAAACTATAGATCAGGCTATAATGGGACACTCCGCCCCCTCTGGTCGCTGCTTTCAACGGGGATATTACCTCCTCTGTCCTAGTGATTTATAACACGTTACGAAGGTCTCAAGTTCCAGTTTTATAACCTGTTCCTTTCTTTCTTAACTGTTTCTTAGTGAGAACAGGCAAAAAAATAATACGTGAAAATTATTATTTCTAAATAATAGAAAATTACCTGCGTAGTAGGTGACTGAAAAGAATTTTACAACAACCCTTTATAAATATACTACGCAAACTTTTTCGAATAAACAGTGGGTTAACGTTTTTTAACGTCATTTATTTGGTTACTAGCTAGCTTTAGCCGGTCACGCGTTGCTATGGCTAGTGGAAAAGAAAGAAAGCACACGTTTTCATATGTTTAATCATATATATAATTAATTATATATTGAATATGTTGTTTAATTTTGTGTTGATTATTTTATGTAAAATAAAAACGTACATGTTAAAAATTTTAAATCTCGGAAAGTTCTTTGCCAAGCTATGTTCAAGTTATATAATTGCTATGTTCCTGGACTCGCGTTTCTACGGCGAGTAGGGGGTTCCAGAAACCGCATTTATTTATATTTCTACAGAAAAATAGATTAATTCTGTATTAAAAGGTTAGAAACCACAGACCCCCTACTGTAGTATCCTAATTGAAACCATATAATTTTTTATTTGATTTCTTTCTTAAGGTATCATGTTTTTAAATTTACTATTGTGTAATTATATCTTGATTAGTTGCATGCAGGGGTAGATGGTAAAAGTTCTATGATGGTTTACTATTATTATATTTATCAACTTCAACAACCAAAAACATTGCTATACAATAATATTAAACTAAACATATATACATAATGAATAGTTGAGAATCTTTACTAGAGGAGGATGCTTGATGTGGATTAACGTTACATGTATTTTACTTGATTCTATTAATTAATGATTTATAGTTGTACAACACAAGTTTACAGCTGTATAACTAAATTGAGGGTTATTACCTAGATGGTTCATCATCATCTTTCGAGGGCTCATTCCATGTCGATTCCTCAGCTCGTCTTACTCCAGTGTTTCATCCGTCCGCGTGGACCAATAGCAGAGTCCCAGCTATCAGGCCATATTGCTCTTCTCCGCCTTCTCCTGGTCAAGTCCCTTCCTCAAGACTTACCATCCTTGCTTTCCAGTCACCCCTCTCTTTTTGTACTCTTTTCTGATTGGTGAATATTCATAGCCTAAGGGATGACCACGCCTCACAGAAGGTATTCCAGCAGGTACAGATTTATGTTTTTGGTGGAAGGTGGTTGAAAGGTTCTCTTTGGACTCTGTTTTCAAACACTCAGTGTCGGTCTTGGTTCGGTGGGTTCATAAGGGTTTTTATTACCACATACAAAAGGTTGTCCTCGTCGGGTCTTTACCCTCGCTCTGGTACCGCCAGCTGTGAGCACTTATGATCTTCTATTTTATTTTACGTTTAAAAGAATTAAGTAAACTTCACAGGTGGTCTTTAGAATACATAGCATAATAAATGTTCCAGGTTATATCCTGGTTGAAAATTTGAGGTAGAAAATTTTAATTTTTCTATTGCAATGAGAATGTTTATATGAGGGTTAATCTATGTGCCACAAATAGGAATATCAACTTTATCTCTTCTTGATAAAATATTTCAACCCACTTTGCTGCTTCGGCCGGTACATTTTTTTTCAAATCGGAGATAATTCATATCGATTTCTATTTTTTTTTTTAATTTGTAAATAATTTACATCGGAAATAAATGAAATCAGAAAGCTTTCAAATAATTATGGCTTTAGCCAAGTTTCATTGAAGTTGGTACATTCGTTCAGACAATACAGTCTATATCAATACTGGTTTTTCGGTCGTCATTCTGGAAGTGATTTCTGAACGATCATCCTCGAGTGATTTCTGATTTCGATTCCAAATTTGAAAAAAAATCGGTCCTGTAGTCTCGGAGAAAAGTAATAAATATTGAGGTTTTTATCACTAAGTGTAAAAAGCGATTTTTTCATAATAAAATTAAGAAAACAAATTATAGATTTTGGTTTACTTTAGTAAATAATTTTTTTTCGTTCATTCTCTATTCGTTATTTCTGTTATATAAGGGAAGGAGAGATGTTATTGTTCTAAATGTACAACCAAACCTATTCTAACCAGAGTGAGAAGGTTGAATATCGTCCGTTTTACGGTTTCAATCACATCAGTACTAATTAAATTAAACATTTTTTTTTTTAATTAAACTACCAATATACAGATAATATCCTACCTCCCCCGTTCTTCTGTGCCAGGTACGGGAACCTCCAGACGTTACCCAGACCCACGGCGTACCCGATGGTCGCCAAGAGGAAGGTCAGTTTTGAGTCCCAAGATTCTCGGTCGTCCTCTCCACACTCCGGTTTAAACGGGGCACGCTCGACTTTCTCTGCGCATTTCAGGGCTGCCTATAAATCCAGATTCATATAGTATTTATTGTTATATTGTTATTTATTTTTGTTATAATTTTACTTGGATTACCTTTGTGTTGGGACTGGAGTCGTCGAAGGCGGAGTTGGTGGCCCCGTAGCTGCTCGGGGTACCGTTCTCCAGGGCTACAAGGCGCCCCCTCATCTCCTTCAGTTCCAGCCGGTCCAGGGATCTCTGTGGGGCCAAATCCCGGGAGCTCTGCCTCCGCACCAGGTGGGCTGTGTTCGCCATCACCTCATTCCAGTCCCCAGCCCCTGTTGGGAATATAAAAATGTTGAAATAAAAATTTCTCAAACAATTATAGAAGAATATTTATTATTAATAAAATAATATCCATCAAGAATCTATTATATCTGTATTGTATATGTATTGAACAAGTTTAAATGCAGATGCATTAAGGGTCTCATTATAAACTTATAAATATTGGAATCAATTTGAAGATGCGCTCACATCAAGAATATCAATCCGTCGAATCTAGTCTATGTAGTCTACACTGAGATACAGTGAATTAGAAAACTAGAATAGATAAGATTTTTTGTTTGCTTTTACTTGATGAACCTTGCAGATCTTTGTCTGCTTGAACAAGCCTTCTCCACTAGTGATGTCCAAAAACGGTCTTGGTCTTATACTTTGCAAGACCAAGACCAAGGCCTACTTGAAAAATTAAGGCAATACTTGTCAATCTTAGTCACTAAATGTATTGGTATAACCAATATACTTTTGCATTTAAGTCCTCTAATTTTTCATTCGGGCTTAGTTAGGTTTCTCCTATCTAAAAAATTACAGTAATATCTCTACAGTAATAAGCAAATTAGTAACTGAAATACTGTTGTGAGACTCTTACGCAAGACCATGACCAAGACTGAGTTTGCAAGACCAAGACTTATCTCGGTCTCGCATTTGGGCAACACTATTCTCTACCCTATCATGATGGGTTTGTAGGTCTACCTAACCATATGTTTGTTAGACTACCACTTGGTCATCATGTAACAAGTATTGAATCATTGATTATTGTAAATAGGCTACTTGATGGACAGGCTCGACGAAAAGATAGCAGACGTTGTTGTAGCCATGAAGATCGGATCTTGAATGAGTCCCGATCTGGCCTACGAGGTTTTATTTTTTAACTTCCAAAGTTATATTCAAATAATGTATTATAGGCCTTTTAAATATTGTGCCGCCTTAACAAGCCTGCTCCGTCTCTACTTGCCTCGGACAATTTCTTTCCAGTTATCGACATACTGCTCTATTACATCTTTGTTGATTCTTTCTGATCCAAGATCGCTCCGGTTATCATGCGGAGGATTTTTCTCTCAAATCTTTTAATATTTTTTTCTAGGGTGCTGGTTAGTATCCAGGTCTCACAGGCATATATTATAACTGGCTTTATCTATATAATAGTAAATCTATACTTATAACATGATACAATATTTTTCTCTCTCTTTCTTGCTTCTAATTTATATTATTTTATAATAATTTGTTAACATCAAAAAATTAAACTGGGTAGTGAAACTTGCTCTTTAGTGTCTTACTGGATTTCTCTTATTGTTTTAGCTAAGCCTATTTTTATTCTTTCATTTCCAAATTTGGGACATTCCTCTAGTTTTTCATTGTTTGTGGTATGTTATCGCATTTTTCACACGGGTGCTTATAACATATAATATAAGATATTATATAATATAATAATTAGGTAATATCTTTATATAATATTTTATATTAAACTTATAAAAAGCTTTGTTTGGGTTTTAGTGGTAAATTTTATATTTGAACATGACCCAGGAATATTATCCTGAATGACGTTAGCTTCTCTGTACGGCTCGGCTGATGGATCGCTTCGGGCTACATGTCCCGCCCATGTCAATCTCCTTGCTTTCATATCATGAGATATTGATTGTCCAGTTTCCAAAAGCAAATCTGTATTGGTCTTTCTCCTACATGCGTTTGTACATTCAGTCCAGATATTAGCGGATTTTTCTCTCAAATATTTCAATAGTTCTTTCTAGGGCACTAGTTATTGTCCAGATCTCGTAGTCGTATGTCATAACTCCCTTTATTACAAAATCAATTTCAGATTTCTTACAAATACAACCGAATTAAACACAGTTAGAAATAAATAAACAGGAATGATAATAGATATTTAAATTATTCTTCAGATTGGTTTTGTTTAATTTATTGTGGTATCCCCTTTCAATCGGAAATATTACCATTATAATTTTGCTTTTAATCAGGCTGTTTAAATTTGTGATTACTAATGTACTGTACCTATTGTATAAAAAAATAAACAAAATACAAGGTGGTAAATTGGTGGCTTTATTATAAATAAAAGCATAATACAGATTGCTTCCAGAAAGCTCCTTGTAATCTCCCGTATATTCCCCCATTTCGACTACAGTTGCTTGGTGTATAAATGAGACTATAAATGAGATTGAAGAAACCTATCAACTTTTTTTTTTGTTTTTCTCTACTTCGCCTTTTAAGCTATACAGGGTTTTCTCGGCACCGGGTCGCGAACTCGTACTTCTTTAATCTCTCATAACTTCGGTTATCTGGTTGCCAGGTAACTCGCGGTGCTGTGCACAAACGTAAGCCCATTCGGCCACCCCGACCCTAGAAACTCATGAACTTTTTCATAAGATACATCTTTGGGATCCCCATGAGTTCTTCTGTTTCATTGTTGTACACCAAAGTGAAGTGGCTTGATCCTACTTTCTGACAACAATTCCTTCTTGATATTTTCCTTTTCCAAGTCCTTAGAACCAAAATCCCCCATATGCTGTAACTCCTTGCTCTACGTTCATCTATCCATTCTCTCAATGCCAGGTCTCAAACTATAGATTTACATATCCCCTCCCATAAAACTACTTCCTTCAGCAAATCCATCGTCATTCGTGCTACCTTCAAATTCTTTCAAACAACTTCTGTTCCACCTCCCACTCCATATTCAAACTTCCGCAATCACGTAAAATTTTCTTCCGTCTGTGCATTGTTTAATTTAATCGACTGCATAGTTGTAATAACAATCAACAGTTAATTACGCATCATTTTGTATTATTCTAAGCCAGACTAAGGCTAAGTATGTAACTCTGATATTATTCTTAGGGCACTGTAGTCCATTATTGACTTTAGAAATTATTTTTTCATTCGTTCATTCATTGCTTTGGTGTGGCCAAATTTATTACTGAGTGGTTAATATGTTATTTAATTAATTTTTAATTCAACCAATAAATTATGTGGTTACATTAGGTTGGTTAGTGGGCTAATTTTAATTAAGGAATTCTACTTGCGGTTGATTGATTCCTCAGTAGTTCCCTACCTCTCCTTTCCCAATTCCCTTCCTAGGCTGTTTAAGGTTCGTATTCCATATTCATCATTCGGTCTTCGGTAGATGTAAAGAACTTCTCATTTCTAGTCAACAGATCTGTTCCAGCTCTCTGATCATACCGGTTACTTTCCTGCATTATTCTTGTCAGAAATCTATTTCTGAAGAGATATCTCCATCTTTTTCTCAGGCTTGCTCAGAGGTGGCAGCAGCCTCGCTAGGTTTTCTTCTTTTATAAAAATAAGATGGAAAATTGTATCTGTCCCTAAACAGGATTGAAGCTATAATATAAGTTCATTGTAGTGAGTAAGAATGAAAAGGATTAGATGTGATTAATCTATGGAATAAATTCTTTGGTGTAAGTGCATCTTAAGCCTTCCAAAAAGTATCCACTATTTTGAATTAGATACTAATTGTTAATGTCCTCTTCGTGCTGAAGTTACAATCACAAATTCTATATATCACTTACTTATAGCAACAGGCAGAGCGATAGGTGGGCAATAAAATTCCCAATCAAAGAAATAGTTCTCAACACGAAATATATTAATAGTTCCTCGAACGGTTCACGCAACCACATGTTGATAGAGCTTCACCGCCTTCTATATATAAATGCCACTCTGATATCTATTTGCTAACGTTATAGTCAACAAAATGTTTTTTTTTTAATTTGGCCGCCATGCATTCTTAAAAAAATTAATAATTCAAATACGCTCCCCAAAACACCAATGCCTTCTCAATTTGGTGCTCCCCCCCCCCGGACAACGGCTTCATCTCACCCAAAAATTTTAATTTATTTCTTAAGCTCTTTTATATCAAGTAGTGTTTGAATCAGTAAAAAACTCACCATGAGACAGAAAGCCAATATTATCCAATAATCGCAAAAATTATAACCACACAGCTTTGTTTCTCCAAAATGCAAGTAAAAATTAAAAAACCAACGTTTTGCCAATTCATGCATCATCAGGACACAAACTTTCTTTTTAAACTTTATCTTCGTAATCAGCCGTTTTTGTTGATATACTTCCTTTGGATTGTATTTTCATAACTATATACTCTTTTTTTTCGTTATTATAATTATATCTTTTTCATCTTATTTTTTTTTTTACATGTACATGAATTCCTGTCGGATATTACATGTTTTTATCTGGGTTTTTTTCCCTGATCAGCTGCTTGATGATAACCTTCCTTAACTGTGTTACATTGCCTGCATTCCAGTATGCGATTCGATGTCTTGGACAGAAAAGCAAATCGTAGATCACATCATTCCATGGCATTCAATTGCATACTGGAAGATAGGTAAGGTGACACAGCTAAAGAAGGTTACAATTAAACAGCTGATCACGGGGAGAAAACGACAGATAGAAACATGTAATATCTGTCCAAAATTCATACACAATTAAAAAAAAAAATACGAAGAATAAGGTATAATTATAATAACGAGAAAAGGTACATATTTACGAAAATTCACTTCAAAGGAAGGTTATCTTAAAAAACAGCTGATCAAAGTTTTTGTCCTGATGATACCTGAATTGCCGAAACTCTTTATTTTACCTACATTTTGGAGACATAAGGCTGTTTGGTTTGAATTTTTTCGATTATAAGCTAGCATAGATTTAATTTTATTTGATTCGATAAGTCACTAATTCAGTTCCTAAAAATAATTATTCTTATAAGTGTTGTAATTATTTTTTCATAACAAGGGAAATCCTCAACAGGGAAACTACTCTTCCATGTCGGCGCCGCCAGATAATTACTCAGGTTGGCTAGCTCTAAGATCGGCACTGAAAAGAGTTGACAATACAAATTCTTTTATTAAAAAACAAATGGTTGAACGTTTAGTCGGTTCCTTGATTACTATAAAGATAATCTAAAGTCCGCACACTAAATATATTTTAGTCCACCGATTCAAAAGTGTTATGGGATACCGGGTTCCCT